GTGGTCCTACAATTTGAGTTGCCACGTGATCACAAAAGAAAGAAAGAAAATGCCATCTCTTAATAAATGAAAATTGCATCTTAAAATAGCAAATGCAATCTCTTAATAAGAATAAATGCCATCTCTTAATAATAAAAATGCCATCCCTTAATAAAAACGCCATCTCTTATTAATAAAAATACCATATCTTAATATATAAATGTCATCTCATAATAATAATAATAATAATAATAATAATAATAATAATAATAATAATAATAATAATAAATGTCATATTTTAAAATAAAAATGGCATCTATTAATACTGCAAATTTAATATTTTAATATAAAAATGGCATCTCTAAATAGTAAAAATTGCATCTCTTAATATAAAAATGTCATCTCTGAACAATAAAAATTGTCGACTCTTAATTAAAAAATGCCATCTCTTAATAATAATAAATGCCATCTATTAAAAAAGCCATCTCTTAAGTAAATAAAAATGACATCTCTTAATAATAAAAAAATACCATCTCTTAAGTAAATAAGAATGCCATATATTAATCAGAAAATTACATCTCTTATAATAAATAAATAAAACCATGTGACATAGTTTGAAAATTTATAAACTGCCATTTTGAATTTTTCTAATGTAAATGCCATCAGGTGAAAAAGAGGAAATAACCGAACAAATACAAAATGCCATTATGTTTTTTTTCTTGAGTCGGTCTAATGTGCAAAAATTCATATAAAACCGCCATGTCAATGTAAAAAAATTGCCGTACCAATAAAGAAACTGCCATGTTATTACTTATTAAAATGTCAATCTCTTAATAAAAAAAACTGCCATGTGACCTATAATAAAATTGACATGGTACATACAATTAGAAAAAGAATGCAATGCTATCTATAAATGGAAAAATGCATATGGCAAGTTAAAAAATCTCCTTTAAAATAATAGGGATTTTTGTTCTTTCAAAAATATAAAAATTCAGGAGTTTCAGAATTATTTAAATGAAAATGGAATTTAGAACAGATTTAGCTTTAAAAACAGATGGCATTTTCGGTCCCAAGTGTTCACAACCCACCCACTGGACAACTGGTAAGCTCTCGGCTCCCCCACGCGGGAGGTGGCGGGTTTGAACCCCACGAGCACACAACCTTGGCCGTGTAATTATTGGAAAAAACCAGAGAAGGTTCACCAGGAGATCAACTGACAGCAAACGACTTCAGCTATCCTGTGTGTCCAGGAGCCTGTGCCAAGATCCGTGCAACGGTGAAGAGAGCGTTCGCCAGTGTTGGCACCCCAGTGAACATTCACTGCATAGTATTTTTGATATTTTATTAAGTGATATACTTTGGTTAAATCCCGTATGATTTCCCTATGGTTCAACTAATCTTCTATGATCTTGTGAAGGCATAAAATTTTAGTCCCACGCCTTTCCTTTTCTCTTTCCGATGTTTTAGAATTCCACAAATGAAAAAGTCTCTAAATTTGAGTACTTCCTCCGGTCCTTTTTACTCTGTGTATTGGATTTTTGTCGAGTCAAACTTAATAAGTTTGACCAAATTTATACTATGAAACTACATTTCACGGTGAACCTAACAATAATTATTTGACATTGTGAATGTTAATACTTTTTTTCTATAAATTTGGTCAACGTAAAGATACTTTGACTTTAGAAAAAAATTATATGTAGACTAAATAGGACCGGAGGGAGTAACATGTTGCTAAACATGTATCACATAATTCTACACATCGAACAGGGAAGCTCGGTCTAATAGACTAGACATGACGCGTTTTCTTCTCCTTCCCGCTTCTATGACCTAGGCGACCAGGGGCGGATCCTCTTCCTCGGCGATTCTGGCGAGGGGAAGGAGCGAGGATCTCGTAGGTTCAACCCGGTGTCGGTAGGGTTAGAAATAAAGTTAGGTGTTGTCGTTGATGGATGGTCGCGAGACGATAGTGAGACAGTTGGCATGGAACAAGGTCTTCTAGCCTCGCGTCTGTTCCTGTGGTGCTTCTTTGTATCTTTGTGATGCCTGTGAAGAGTGTCTTTAGATCTGGTTCTTCGGGTCCGGTTTCGTCTAGAGGTTTGTCTAGGACTCTCGGTGATGTCCTGCAAAGTGGACAATGTGGTCGTGTATCTTTGTCCATCCACTTTAGTTCCGACCGACGAAGATGGTAGGCCATTTTACAAAACATCCCCAACATTTTTCTTCTCTAGGGTGGCGATTTCATACGCAGATCGTAGTTGCCAACATTTTCTGGACTACATCCTATACAACTTCCCTACTGCTGCTTCTACAAGCCCCTATGTTTCAATAAATTTGCTACATTGAGACGCAGGTCCAGAGGCAGCAGCAAGGAGCTTGGCTCACGGATGCTGGAGTAAGAAAGACTTCGGCATCCTCTTTCTCTAAGAATATTTTTCTAAACAATACCTTCAGCCTTTCCGAAAGAAAAAAAACAGGGAAGCTTGAGAGAGAACGGCTGGGAAGCTTTGTAGCTCAAAGCCCAAATATTTGGTAACAAGTTTAGACATGACACTGTACTTCTTACGAGGAGGCAGGAGCGGATGCTTAGGAGGGCTTCTAGCCTGTGCCTTAAAGCCCAAATGTTTGGCAACAAGTTACAAAGCCTTTTTCTTTTTGCGGATGAAGTTGTCAAACCCTTAAACATACGAGTTTCCACGTTTCCCCTAAAAAAGTTGCTCAAAAAAAAAGTTTCCACGTTTCCCCTAATAAGGAAAAAACTAAGTTTCCACATGGCACTGTAGTTTTCAATTACTTCAGCTTGGACTTGCATCATGTAACTAAGTAGGCCCTAAATAAAAAACTAAGTAGGTATATATATGGATAAGAGATCTAACTACAAATTTCCTATTTAGACACAGTTCTTTGGTTTCTTTTATAAGCCACCCCCTCCCTAGCTTCTCTCATAAGCCGTTCCCTTAATTGTTTCGGGCTTCTAAGCTAGTTATCGCTAACTAGTTCAGAAGCCAGAAAAAAAGTAGGAAAGGGATTATAGGAGAAGGTAGAGGTGGGGCGCCTTATTAGTGAGAAGCCGCCGAAAGAACTGCACCTTACATCCACTCCAAGAGTCCTAGTATACTGAAACATTACTTTCCCAATCCAACCTAAACTGATAGCACTCAAATATTGCCTATGCATCTGACTAAAATGTCAGATGTCACCACTCAGCGCACGAAGCTCATAAACAACTGCTAAAAAAACTGTAACAAAATAACCATGCATGAAACTTCAGCAGATAACCACGCACAGGTAACATGTGTAACCCAGACAAATTCCAAAACAGGTTCATCACCACGAAAAATGTAACGGCAGTAACATAGAGTTTAAACATGGTACAGGAGGGTCTATTGCCGGTTGCAATGTACACAAGGTCCAAAGTAGGCGCAGGGTTTCCACACATGTATTGTCACCAAAGAATTTCATCTCAAGTTCTTCACAGTTGCCGAGTTCCCAGATAACAAGTTGCTGTCCATCATTACAATGTTGTAACAGTAGCCTGGTCACTGCACATGTACATTAGATAAATATATTATTACCAACGCAAACTGATAAGATACGTAGAAGAATTAATTAAAGATTACTATTGGAGTGAAACACGGCAAACTGAATACAAATAAGGAGAGTAGATACAGCTAATTTCTGACTTCCTGGGGACAAAGACTTGGAATTTCAAAATACTCCCTCCGTTTCTGAATATAGGGTGTATAGTTTTTGGCACGGAAATTAAAGAACGCACGTGGAGGGTAAATTTCACAAGTTTTGGGCGAGATTACACTTGACTAATTGACATGAGAAAATAGAGGAGTTTGCCTAATATAAGGAAATGTAATCAAATCCCTAAAAAAATTTATCCAAACAAGTTGTTCAACGCAATACACCTTATATTTTGGATGTTTTCTCAAAAATCTATACACCTTATATCAAGGAACGGAGGGAGTACTAGATATCATTGATTAAGCCAATGTATTTGCACATAAAACAGAAAATAATCAAAGCAACAAGGACTATGACAACTGATAAGTGTGTTCTGCTTTTGTCCATAATTCAGATACATGAACACAAAGGAAAATTGGTTGATAAAATAACAATCAGATTCATTGTTATGGCATCCATCCTAACAGGGCCCAACTGGCATCATCCGAAATCTACATCTACAATTGATGGTATTCATGAATGATGTTTTACTAGTCAGTGTGCATGTATAACATATGTAGCTGCAAAATAACATGCATTTCAGTAAACAGCAGCCACGATCTCATTATCAGTATATTAGTTCACCAAATGATACCTTCATTAATGGAGCACATATTCTCATTCCTTAGATGGATTTCTGTTACTGAATTAGCGTATATTTATCTCAGCCTTTGAATAAATACAAACTTATAAACAAGTAGCAATTTGGGTTTTTATTTCTAAACAAATGGCTAGCTAATATAAAAACACTTGTTGATGTTTTTTAGTGTGTTGTGCCATGAGCTCCGCTCCTACAAATTGTGTTGCAGCTAGTATGTCTCTGCATGCATTAGGAGATTAGCCGAGTCAGTATGCATTGAGTTATTATGGTCTGGAGCGTATTATGGAGAATCATTATCATAATTGCCTCAATCAAACCAAATCAAGACTATCTATACATAGAGACTAACTATTGGATCAAGCGGTTAGAGGGACAAAAGAAGACTAAACAATGCAGAAAGTATGGCAACAGGCTGTTAGATAAGATTGATGAACTAGTAAGAAAGTATTTTGGGTGAATATAAGAAATAATGGTCTAACACATTTATAGAAGTTCAGATTAGTACGATACCCACTGGCACTATAATAT